TCTCTCTTCTCTGCCAGCATTTAGATAGCTAGAAAAGTGCTTAAGGTAAAGTTTACACTTATTATTACACTGATTAGAAACTTGATTCAGTATTTATAATTTTTATAGGGTAAATGAATGCGTACATAATGAAATATTGCACTGATAAATTAAAATGATAAATGAAAAGTGGATATTTGGAGATTAAATATAATAGATACATTTAAATGAATATCTCAGTTACTTCATGGTGACATTTATGTTCAGTGTACAACCACTCACTCCCTGAATTTGAAATGGGTGTAACCCAGTATCATGACCACAAGAAGAATCAACTCTGCTGGCTTGAGGTCCATCGCCTTTTCTTCATTGCTAGGGTCTTCATTCTTTTTATTGGGGTCTTCATTTTCCTCTTCATTCAAAGCAGCACGAAGTTGAATAGTAGTTGACAGTACTTCACTGACTGATTTACCCGGGAATGATTCTGTAGCGAGATATCGGCCTCCCCCCTACCCCGTCTCCTCCTGCGGCTGCCACCCACAAACAAGCAATCCCAACAATCATCCCCATTGGTATTAAATTCACAATCGGCGTCCGAGCTTCCTCCTTTCCCTGGTCCAACATCATCATAACAAATAAAAATAAAATAGCTATCGCCCCCACATACACTATTATCATAATAAAGCCCATATACACCAGTCCTAGTATAATAAAAACCGCCGACACACTTAAAAAGGCTGAAATAAGCCACAATACTGCGTATACTGGCCTCAGCGCCAATATAACCATTACTGCGGATACCACCCCCCGGACGAAATATGCCCTATGGTCCCATACTAATATCGTATCGATGGAATCCCAAGAGCAGCCGACAAATTGTATAGCGCCCCCACCCCCTGGTCTCTGGTCTTCCAACTCTTTCAGGCTCTCACGCGCTCTAACATATTCCTGCCGCAAAACCCGAATCTCCCGATCTTTGTCCTCTACCCCTTCCCTTAGCCAAATTACCTCCGAATTTTTTTCTTTCTTCTACCTCTTGCCTTAGTTGTGTTATGTCCGCATCTCTTTTTTTTATCTCTTCCAACATTCGTATTACCTCCAAATCTTTCGTTTCGGCCTCTTGCCTTCAATAGAATACATCCTCCGCCAGTTGACGGCTCCACTCAAGGAGCTCCTCTATTAAATCTACCCATCACATAATACATCTCCGAAGAGAATCGAACTCTTATCTTCAGGTTGAAAACCCGGTGTCCTTACCATTAGACTACGGAGATATACCATTGCCATGGGTGCCTTGAACTCTTTCATCCTTATTCTATAACCGCAGCGCCCATCTGTGCCGTAGACATAATTACAACCAACCCCTCATTCGGGAACACCCCTTTAATTTCTGTAAAGAAGTATGTCTATATGACGGGAATCAATCAGTTGAAAGATGACTGGATCTTTCCATCATTACTTTTTCAGGAATTGAAGCACGATAAAGGCGAGAGATCGATGTTGCTCTTAGAGAATGACTTGACACATTTTGCAAATCCAATCTAGCTGGATTAAAAATGGATTTCAACATTTCATCTAATTTATTATGCCCCATAGCTACAGACGTAAACCATGGTTTACCTGGAACAATATTAGTAAAGGGTTTATGATAAAATGCTCTGCTTCTTTTAGCTCCTGTTACATCAGGTGGTAATAAAGATATGTGTAATTTCAACAGATTAATATGGCATCGTTCCTTCAGAGCAGGTTGAGCATAATGATGAACAACTTTGTTGTCCATATTCTGTTGTTTAGTACCACCGGGTTGATTTTTTGATCCAAATTCTGTATAATCCACGTATTCCAAAACTTCACCTTCACTTTCTTTTGAGCCAAAAAAGAACTGCTCTATGGTTACCTTTCTATGCTCAATTCCTCCTCACAGCATGAAAAATTATTGCCATTATAATAAAAAACTGCATTAATTATTCCTAGTAGCGTTTCATCATTACGAGTGTTGCTCATCGAAAGTTGCTGCTCTTGGCTTGTTGATATAAGTTTGCCTGAGCCTCTGTCGTTCCAATACCATGTATATGTAGCTGACTATATCGGTTATCCAACAAAGTGTGGACGCATTTGAATTCTTGTTGCTGAATGTTGACTTTGTGAGTGGAATTAGCTTGAATGCAGTGATGTATCCCCGATAACATAGAGGAAAGACTCAGTGGACAATAAGGCTGACCATGTTTTTTGCGAACTTCAAGGAAAAAGGTAGAAAGCCAGTTACAAATAGCATCCTTATCATCACTAAGCAATACATCACAAGACGGTACATCCTTGCCATGTTTGCTCCGAGACACTAGCCAATTTTTAAATACTTAACAGCCCACTGAGTAGATTTCTCCGTATTTTGAGGTACAATTTTAGCTTGGTTCATTGTGACTATATCTTAAGAAATGAAAGAGAATTGACCTTCTTTCTCTGCAAAGTCCTCTTGCTGTTTGGTATCACCCGGTTCTTCTACTGTTTTGTTTTCAGTTTCATCTTTATGTACCTTTGTCCTCTACTTCAAGGACAAAGGCCTGCTTCCATTGCTTGTCTTCATCATGGCTGTCAAAAACACGAGGCATGGACTGCGCCGTACGCATGCGCAGATTTTTATTAACAACTATTGAATAACATTAGAATAACAATAATCTTCTATAGGATTCATCAGCAAGTGCCAAAACTATTAATTATTTTAATGTTAAATGTAGATCCCTTAATTATAGTTTCAAATAAAATCTAAATAAAAATATTACCTGTAAACTCAAGCAGAAGCGATGTCTGGATGTAAATGAAGTGTGTGACCCAGATGTTGTTATTACAATTCACAAAAAGGACTTTATAGACCACCCAGAGTGAGAATTGCAAAAGCTATGAATTTCATTAAATTTATAAACGGTGTCCACCCACACGTCATAATTGGCTGCCATTTTGCTTGGCAAGTTTGTTAAGAAAGTCAATGGAGGCACAAAGAAAATGCCTCACTTACCTGCTGTAGCCCTTTTAATAGATAAAAAGTGCTTGTTATAAGAAATAGCTACCTTTAAGCTTATCCTATGAAAGATTTGGTCAAATTCGCTCCAGAATTCTTAATGCAGGTTTGTTTTAATGTCGTCCTGTTTGCTGTCCATTAAAAGTTGCTAACCTAAATGGCGTCCGGAATTTATTTCATTGTAAACCATGCCTTACAACCGTAATAGTCTTCCCATGCAAGCAATTCTCACTCTGGGTGGTCTATTGACACTAGAACACAGCAATAACTCTACAACTTTTGTAATGAAAGAACTTGTATTTGAAGTCTCAATGCATGGTTGGGCTTTAGATCACTCTTAAGATGTGCAAAAAGCAAGAAAAGTAAGTTAAAATGCTGTCAAGTGCTTTTTTATTCTTTACCCGTTCATTAATTGATGTGGGTGTGGTTTACGTGGTGGGCGTGGTCACATTTACTACGTGAACGGGCGTGACAGAAATATTGAAAATAACTTAAAATGCCTTTTTCTCTGAACTTGTATTCCAGAGTAATCGTCAAAAGAGCGTCCCTAACTGCAAAGTTTTATTGCACATTGTCATAAATGGGATATCGCTGGAAAGGAAATCTTTTTCTCCATCTGTAAGTACCGTATTTCCTCGTGGAAACGCCTAGGCGTTTATTTCCTATAGAGACCCGTTTGCCAGGCATTTAATTGGAGTAGGCGTTTCTACGAGGTGGGCGTTTATAACCAAAAATAATAATCCTTACCATACCACGTTTCATTAGACACGCCCACAAAAGATGGCGGCTCGGGTCTTTCAAAAGGAAAGTGTAATCACTGGACATCATGTGTACAAGACAGTTTGGACTCCTGTAATCGGTGAAGAGCTTCATACAGAAGTAGAAGATGACAATGAACACGATAAATATGCGGTAGCAGTAATGAAAAGCAATGGAATAGTTGGACACATGCCTCGATCTCTTTCCAGAATCTCGTGGTATTTCTTAAAGAATGGTGGTAAAATACAAGGCAAGGTCACTGGAAAGAGAAGGAAAGGAAATGGACTAGAAGTTCCATGCATTTACTACTATGAAGGATCACCTAGGACTATTTGCAAATTACGTAGACTACTTTCATGAATATATATATAAATTAGGCCGTATCAAACATTATTATTAATAAAGGAAATCAATCATTATTATTAATGAAATAGAAGAGAGGATAGGAGAGATGATTAGCCAAGCTCATTGTTAATAATAAAGATTTTTACACATTAATTATTATTTTAGTAATAATATTAAATTTAAAGATATCATTACTTAATCACTGTCACTGTTACTGTCAAAGTCAGGGTCATTTTCATCATCCTCAATGCAAGCCTCATTTAAATCATCTTCATCAGAATCTAGGTCATCAGCAAATGGATCATTGTCATCATCTATATCTTGCTGAATATTCAACAAGGACATTTCATGGGCCAAAGCAGCTCTTCCAGCTTCACACGGTTGACCTGGTTTGAAGCAATGAATTTCATTGTCATCTTTTCCACAAGTAGATTGAGTGATAGCACATGATAGGAAAGATTTGGTTACAGTATCAGGAGGAACAGCATCCCAAGCATCTTTAACCCAGCTACAGAGAAGTGAACGAGAAGGTGGTTTCATGTTACCACTTTTAGTGAACTCATGAACTGTGGGCTCACTCAACCAAGTGTCATAGCTTTTCCGAAGTTGTGATTTGAAAATGGAATTCCATACCACATCAGCAGCCTGAATGTATTTTGTACATCCACCAGGAATTACTGCAGTGTGAAGGTGTAAACGGTCAAGTTCTCTTTTAGTGGTTTCACTTGTATGACACTTGTATGCATCCCATATCATTAGGCGCTTGTTGAAAGAAAGGCTCCCAACAATTTTCTTCATGTAGTCACAAGTTAAGTCATCATTCATCCATCCATTCTGACTAAATACTACGACAACTCCAGGTATCGTTTGTAGCTCCTTAATGAGACGTGTTCCTTTACCTTTAAACACAATGAATGGCTTTAATTTCTTCCCGTCTGCCTCTTGCAGTAAGAATAACAGTGAAGTGGTCTTTTTCGTGACCTGCTGTTTTCAGTGGAACAGATCTTGCTCCTGTGGTGGCAACTGTTGTATCTCCTGGCATTTCAAGCCAACAGGCCGTTTCATCCATTGCAAAAATATCTCCTGGCCGAAACTGGTGAAGCTGTTGAAGTTTTCGTATATGCAAAATGAAACTTATTAGCTTTGGAATACAATCAGCTGGGACTGTTTGGCAGACAGTTGTTTTCCTTCTTAGGGATAGACCTTTCCTTTTCATAAAACGGCCTAGCCAGCCTCTACTGGCCTTAAACTCTGGTGCAGAGTCACGAGATAGGCCCTTTGCTCTATCAACAATCATCTGTCTGCTTACTCTTAGATGCTTAGATCTAACATCTACTATCCAATCAAGCAGGACTTCTTCCATGTCGGGATATAAGGCCTTTCTGCCACCTCCACCTAGTCGCTTGCTTGTAGACTGGCCACACTTATTCTTCTCAAGTAATTCACTCTTTTGCTGACACCATTCACGCACTCTTCTGACATCTACATTATAAATCCTAGCAGCCTTTGATTTATTGCTCTTCTCTGCCATCTCTACAACGCGTAGTTTAAAGCTGACATCAAAACTTCTATGAGTTTCCTTAGCCTTCTCAGCTGCCGCTGCCATTGTACAATATAGACTACGACTACGTAGGTACCACGTGGGGCAGGTGGGTGTGGTATAGGCGTTTAATCGATAATGGGCGTCTAAACAAGCATGGGCGTTTATTATCAAAGTTATGTGCTGTCTCTAGGCGTTTATACAGGCATGGGCGTTTATAGGGAGTAGGCGTTTCCACGAGGAAATACGGTACCAACAACTGATTTTACCAAATTCCCGCAGATAGCCTGGTTTTCTCATATTGGGTCACATATATTGATGTCTTCTTTTTCTGCCTATTTTGTCAACTGCTTGAGAAGAATATTCAAATAGATTATAATTTCTCCTCTGCCTCCAAGCAGTTGTTTTTGGTACAGGAATAGATGGATCAGCTACATACTGCTTGTACTTCTTAGCTTGCTCTGAAGCAGCCATTTTAGGGCTTCCTGCGCAAGCGCAATGCCCCATATGCCTCATGTTCATTAAGAGCTTCTGAAGTGGTTATATACCTCAGGCTATACTTTGTGTGTCAAGGAGTTCATGGAGTTTATACAAGGCAACAAGTATCTGTTTTGGTAAGGTAAGTGCAGGCCTTGCCCAGTTGAAATGGGTTATTATTGTTCTCTGAGAGGAAGGCGGGATGACATTACCTACTCCAATTATGTAGGCAATGAGTCTCAAGAGGAAAAGACAGCCTACACTTAAAGGAAGAGAATACCAGGAAAGCACTGCTAAGCCTCTGGAGCTTAATGGTTAGGAATAATAATAATGATAAATACTTGTAATATTATTATGGTATAATATTTTTAGCGGGTGATTTTAATTATATACAGCAATACTAATTAAAAATCAAACCAGCTGAAGTGTGATTGGGTTTAAATTACTCTAAATATTTTTTAAATTGAATAATAAAGCTGTAAATTATTCAACTTCTATTGCATACCGTACAAGTTTTTTTGAGGGAATCATATTTCGTGAAATCTACTACGTGTGCCATGTGGGCTGTATTAAATTGATTTTCATGGATTTTATTTTCACAAATCTTGAAGTAATTCACGAAATTTGCAACCCTCGAAAATATACCACCTATACAGTATTGAATACATTAAATTAGCCAAGCTTTAGCTGTTTGTATTTGTTGTATCTTCTCAGTACAACTAAGTTTAATTGGAAATTTAATGAATTTTATCTTAGTTTTATGTTACATTGAGCTTACAAAAACTGATGGTTCTGTCAAGGAATATACGGTAGAAGCAAGCAACTTAGAAAAAGAAACTGTGGATGCACTGACTGAGAGAGATCTTTTTTATGGAAACAGAGTATTGTGGAAATGTAGAGGTAGTCGATATGAGGTCAAGATTTGTGGAACACATAGTAAGCCAGCTATCATGTATAATGTATAACAATTCTTTCATAATGTTTGTAGGAGAAAGTACCAAAAAATTGCCTAAGAGTTATTTTAGACGACGATGATGTTGAGCTTGAAGATGATAGTGCTGATGCACAAACAAAAAGTAAGCATCTTATTCTTTTTGTATAAGTAATTGACAGCTTTTAACTTTTAGGAAAGATTGACAGCATGTTATTATCCCAAAGTAAAACAATTCAATTCGAAATGATCAAGTTATTATCATCACTATTGTTCGTAGCACATGACTTTCATGATGCTGATATAGCTTGCAATGATGTAGTGTCAACAGCAATTGAAGTAGACAATGAAGGTAATCAAGGTACATGTGTATAATAAAACATATTATACGTATATTATTATTAACAGAATTACATTCAGTTGAAAACGATAATGCTAATAAGCTAGAAATTTCACAATCAAATGTATGTTGGAATTAAAATGCTATGAGTACATGCATGTTTAATATTTTTTTTAGCTCCAAGATGATTTAGTATTTGAAACGCCTCCAAGAATAACCACACTTAAAATGGTACATAATGTATTTTCTACATGTAATTGTTTGTATGTTGTATATAGCAATCATTCAAGTCTCCATTTCAAAAAAATACAAAAACTACTCCTACTCCAACTGATTATGATAATTTTGGATATTGTATTAATATTTTTAATACTTGTACCTTTGTCAATGTAGGATAGGTTAAGTCGAATAGAATGAAAGTTACACTCTCTGATCAAGTGTCTCAAGAAATCAGTATGATGTTTTTCCAGTATCTATATTATACAGTGTTCATTATAATAGAGATCTACATGTATTGCTGATGAATTTATGGAAGAATCAAAGCTTATAACTGTAAGAATCATATCTCCACAACTTACAAAAGAAATGTTTTTAGGACACTGGTGTTAATTTATTACAATTAAGGGCCACAAACATATTATCTACATATGCCCTCCAGCTGATGGATAATATATTCACAGATGAGGAAATGTCTAGTTCTGTATATGAAGCATCAAAAAGATCAACCAAACCAGCCTCAATATTACAAAATTTCAGTACTTTGAAGGTAAAATGTCTGAATACATTATAGTTAGAATAATTATTTCAATGATATAGAATGTGAAAAAAAATTGGCGAACAAGAGTTTATGAAAGAATGCAATCAGATCAAATGGAAATGTACTCAAAAGTGCATTGATAAGCAAAGGTATGTACAACGTACATCATAGCTAGTAGTCTATGAATGTTTTAGATCTAAAGCAATACAGAAATAGTGTAAAAGAGAATCGAAGCTGAAAGGATTAGAGACTGAGAAAATAGACACTGTAAAAACATATCATAGTTAATTTCTCCATGCATGTATCATTATTGTGTTGATTTGTTAAGATTCTTTTACATTCATTTCAATGCATTTATAAGAGCAGATATAAACATGCAGTTTTTTAATTGCAAGAATAGTCATGATCTTAACATAGATCTGACAAGACCATGCCTGATTTTGGAACCTAAATTTTGCCTGATCCAATAAGAACATGATAGATCCTTTTATATGATCTTACAAGATTTATTTGCTGGGTAGTTTCTTCGAACAAGTCCTTGTACTAGTAATTCATTGCCTTCCTAGTGATTTATTGTTTTATTTTTTTTTGTACTGGGGGTCAGATCCTGTTCCTGATCTACCTTCAATATATTTCCATCATATATTCTACATATATTATTTCTATAAATTACATGTATACTGTAAAGTTCTTTAATAATTATTATTATCAATGGTTCTCTTTAATAATATTAATAATAGATCTTATTATTATTATTACTGTTATTAACAAATTTGCTAAGTTAACAATGTGCATGTACATGTATACCTGAACTCTGACATACAGTGGACTTAATTTTTCCAGAGTGTGGAGCTCCTACTTGAGCTTGTAGCAACATGACAATAGTGCTTGTTTTCAAGGCTTTTAGAGCATTCTCCACGAAGGAAGACTTCTGTAAATTACAACACATTTCAGCTCTTGACTATTATTAGAAAATAATCAATCAGTGTTTTGCTAGTACTAAATCACAGCATGAGCATGGTCATATTCTTGCAATATAGAATACTCAAAACAAAGCATTTTCACCTGAATAGCCTGATTCAAGAACGTCACTTCTTCTCATCGGAAATAATGTATCCATTAGACAATAACGACACCAACATTAGGATTTATCTAGCACTTAGCTGAAAGTGTCCTATGATGAAGCTTGAATAAGAATTCATCTTCACTCTCAGGTACCACTAATGTTTCAGTAGAATATGTTACTTTAGAATTCTTTAGTGGCCTTGATGTAGTAGCATTATGAGAAGAACAACATATGGAGGTTTAGATTGTCTCCTATAAATTGCTTGAAGTGAGACTTGAGCTCTTCAACTATTACACCCTACATTATTATGATTTATAAATATTGTGTACTCTAGATACTATGAACAAATCAATTTATTTCTAAACAGCAATAATGTTCAATTTTACATGAGGAGTTCCAGCTCTGAAGCTCTTAAAAATGGGTGAATAGAGAGTATTGTACAAGCAACATTGGCATAGTCTTCTTTACTAGGATACCTTTTCTAGCCGAACATAGCAGAAGCAACGTCTGAAACGAATGGACGTCTTGTTGACAACTTCTTGTGCTGTTAAAGAGCAACTCACTCTTATGATGCTTTGGTAAGGAGAAAGGATCTGGGAGTGGAATCATATCCTCTTTAACTTTAAGTACCTTCTGCATTTTAACTTCAATGTTACAGCCGACATCAATGATATCGTCAGTGTTGTCTAGACCCTGAGTGAAATCTATTACTGTTTATTGCGATGATGCTGGAGACTGCTGAGACTGAAAGATGAGCTTTCTTTGCCTACAATGATAAGGTGATCATGTAGGTGTGTAACTATCATTTTCAGTCTCATATCATGTCTACAAGACAGCTTGTGAGGCAGCAGTTGATGGTGAAGTGCTACTTTGTAAGAGGGAAACTGAAAATAGCCATGATCCGTATGCAGTAGCTGTCATCAGAGGTAATAGTATTGTTGTTGGACACTTGGCAAAAAAGATATCTGTCATTTGTTCATTGTTTATTAAAAGAGGTGTTATTACCTGTTCAGTAAACAGCAAAAGGAAGCATTCTCGTGATCTCCCACAAGGTGGGCTTGAAATACCTTGTCGACTGCATTTTAGTGGTGAAGCTGACCTGATTAATAACGTGGAGGCATTGATTAAGGAATTTACAGCTAGTATTGAGGATGTTAATGCAGCTACAGATGAGAGTGAGGATGGAAAGGAAAGAGCTTTGAAAAAAGAAAGATTGGATGTGGATAATGACACTAGTGAATGTGAATGGGCTTATTTTGGTGGATGGCGATTAACAATGGCTGATAAAAGTACCATTAAGAATGGACTTGAGCTTAACGATAAACACATAACAGTGGGGTTGAAGTTATTGCACTCTCAGTTTCTAACCCTTGTGGGATTACAGTGCTCTCAGAAAGTTAAAATGTGGCTGAAAACTATTTACAAATGCTTCATTATCACTCCAACCACTGGATCACTGTCACAACACTGGGTTGTAGCAAGGATGAGGTATTAGTTTATGATTCCATTTATACTGACATCGACTGTGAAACTAAATGTGAAATTGCTGTGCTGTTGTCATGTCCTAATATCACAGTGTTGTTACCTCCTATTAAAAAACAGAAAGGTATAAAAGACTGTGAATGCTTTTCATTGGCGTTTGCAATGCGGTAGCGTTACTAAGTAGGATTCACCCCTAAACAAAATGGCTGCAAAGACTTTTGCAGCCTTGTTATACCGGGAAAACTAGCTCCTATGCTTACCAGACTTTATAGAGGACCTTATCTTGACCAGAGGACTCCATTGGTACCACTAGCATGGCTCTAGGCCCTGTCTAAGAGGAAATTCAAAAATCGACGAACCAGCCGTTTTGTTCAGCCACCTTTTTTCATCTTCATCATCATCTTCATCAAGGCCTGTCAATCCAGTTGTCGGTGTGTATCTTGGTATTACTTCATGCTTAAAGGATAATTCTTACACCAATGTACTCTAAAAGTCTATGCGCAGGTCCGTGTCTCATCAAACCAATCTCCAAGAAAGGAAAAAGTGATACTATGACTGCTGAATCATACCATCTCAGCTACATGCCGCCATTTTGTAAATTAAAGAAGCATGTGCTCCAAAATTTGGGTGTGGTCGCGCATGCTCAGATCTGCAGTTCTAATTAATCAGATATAAAATTTAAAAATGAAAGAGTCAAGGTAGGTAAAATTATTTTTTTTTAGTTATTGATGCATGATGTTTTATGCAGGTAACCTTCAGCAATTAAAAGAACACTCTTCTTATCTGCCCAAGTCTTACTGTGTTGTATATCGTCTATGATTTGTATTTGTAATTTACTGATATCTATGTCATAATTGTGAATTGTTATAATTATTGAACTGGGCGTGGCTATAAGGGGTGTGATTTGCGCATGCTCAGATTGTAGAACTCGTGCTATCTTATGGTGGACAGTGCTAGCACAGTCTTACTGACTGATCTAAGTGATATTGAAAGTGAAACTGTTTAAGCTGATCTTGAATTAATCATAAAGTGCTGGTCATTAACAAGATTTTCAAAGTTAAGCATTAATATTACTATAATTGATAATAGTAATCAAGTTATTGATAATTACTACTGAAAACTGACTTTAACACCGCATTGATTTTTTCTTCCTGTATATATATATATATAGCTTTTATAAGTCATGCCTAACTTAAGGGGGAAAGCATCTGCTAAAAAGCTTAGAGAATTGATGAAAGAAAAACAAGCTAGTAGAATAAAGCCACCAACAAAAAGTGTATCAGCTAAGATGAGATCTAAAGTCATAGCAAGAATATTGCAAAAGACAAACGAATAGGGAATATTATAAGAAAAATTTCCTCAAATTAAGACATTGTTTTGTCATTGTCATTGTTTCAATGACAATAATGATGTAATTTTTAGTGAAGATGCAGAAAAAGACGTACAAAATGATAATGATTTTAATAGTGACACAAAAGAAAAACGATGTAGACAGTGGTAAAAGGGTTACAAAAAACTAAAAATAGCATGTACTGATAATTGTAAGGCAGTGACTACAGAACCGTAAACGGTTTCCGTTGCGAAGTGCTTAAAGAGCCGGCATCCCGTTTTTCTCCGTACAGTAACCTTCTGCGCATGCGCATTGATGCAAATTGGAACTTAGTTTTTATCATGGATTCCTGAACTAGAGGACGCTCTAAAATAAAAAAACTAAACCATAAACCCGACCTTGGGGACTCCTAACATAACTGGGGGACTCCTAACATAACTAGGAGACTCTTAAAGTGACTAGGGACGTTCTAAAAAAAACCACCACCCTAACCCCTAAACCCTCAGAACTATAGCTAACTAGGGGACTCCTAACATAACTAGGGGACATGCTAACAAGGGCACTCCTAAACTAGTGGAAAAGGTAAAAATGAAATTGTATATAAGTAAAAAAATAAAAATGTAGATCAATGAGATTCGAACCAGCACCGCCCTAAGTCCAAATGCAGCATTCAGCTCCCTGTAGCTTGCCCGCTGTGCCACCACGATCCCACTGCCAAAATTCACCTAGTTGTCATAATTACACTGATTGCTCCTATATAGGGGCGAAGCCCCTATAGGGGGCCAGGCCCCCTACCGGCTCTATAAGCCGTCGTTAAAGGAAACGGTTTACGGCGCAGGAGCCACTGCCTAATTGTAAACCACTGACAGATTTTTAGATCGAAACAATCAAAGATTTAAAAGAAGCATTCAGTAAACCAACCAAGTAATTTTGAAAAATTTTGAGAAACATCGATATAGGTTGCCCAAATGAGCATGATCCACAAAAGAATGGTCGACTTGTTATGAGGATGACAGTACATGCAGAAGCAAGCTAAGAAGAATACTGAGAGCTGCTTCTCCTCACTATCCAATGCTACGCACATTTTTGCGTAATGTTTATCAAGCCAGAAATTACGATGAAGCTGTCAATCTAATAGATCAAGCATTAAGTGGAGATATGGATGCTTTGATTAAAATTGCAACCGAGTCTGATCCAAACAACAAAAAGAGTGATGTCGCCC